TTTTGAATGTGCTCTTCTGCACCTTTGAGAGTGTGTTTGCTTGCAGAGGACGGGAGAGGGGCTCAGAGGGCTGCAGATGGGGAGGCTGCTGGAGCATGGGGACCTGGAGTTCAAATGACAGCTCCACCTCCCGGGCTAGGTGCCTGATCTTTTGATAATTTATAATACTCTGTGCCTCAGTTTCCCACCTATGAAGTGGGAATAACAAGACAGTCTGTCTTCTAGGGTCCCAAGGATTCAGTGGGATAGCCTACATACAGGGCCTCAATGTCATAAGAGCTCAGTAAACTTCCTGTCTTTATCTGTCACCGTTTGCCTAGAAGATGGGATGTGCAAAAGCATTTGCAGGAAGCATCTTAGGAAGTGAAGGGGCAGAGGAACCAGAGGAGTTGGATAGTGGCCCACTTCCTGGCCCCTTTCCCCAGGGGGACAACAGTGGCACTGCAGTAGGAGAGTAAGACAGGCCGTGGGACTGGCACCAGAACCTTTTGTAAGATGCCCCCAAGCTCTGGGCCACACAGATGGTGGGGTTGGGGCCTTTCTCCTCCTTCCTGCCAATCAAACTTCTGTGGCACCGATGCAGCCCTATGATGTCATCCCACCTGGGACATCCTCGACCAGGGTCTTCCTTGGTGGTGAGATGCAACTTCCAGTGGCCAGGGACTCCAGGGGCTCCCTGGGACACCTGGAAGGGACTCTGAGGAGGCCAAGGTGGGGAGAACTTATGTGACAGGGGCATTGTGGTGGTTCTTTGACAACACAATTCCTTCTGTCTCCCTAAGGAGACAAGGCACAGGGCTAGAGGCTGAAGTGTCACTGACCTGCTCTATATATCATTCTTCCCGCAATCTTCCAGGACACATGAACTGTGGGTAGGGGGGTAAGTGGAGAGAGGAGGAAATCATCGTAGTTATTCAGGTACCTCCAGAAGTCCTAATGTTCCCCCAGACCCTCAACATGTCCTAAGAAATCACTGGCAGGGAGGAAATGTATCCAGCCAGCTCTCCATTTCCCTCCCCTCCCATCCCTTCCTTCCAAATTACAGAGATGATGGATGGAGGGACGGAAGCATGCATGGATGGTCAGACAGACCCTTCCGATTTGAGCCTTGCTCACCTTTTAGCCTCATCTCTTGCTCTTTCCTCTCATTCTGTGCAGTAGCTAATTTCTTAAATATGCCCTGCTCTCTCTCCTCTGAGGCTTTGCATATGCTGTTCTTTTTCCTTCAAACAGTGGATTAGGAGATAAAGGGACAGATGGATAGGTGAATAGACAGGTGGCTGGGTGAGTGGCTGAATAGATGGTAGTGAAAGAATAGGTGGTGGGTGGTATGCTATAGAAGATTGCAGACCCAGGAGTCAGACTCTTTGAACTTGAATCCTAGCTCTACCATTTTGCTAGTTGTGTGACCTTGAGCAAGTAATTGTACTTCTGTTTGTTCATCTGTAAAATGGGTGGGCTAAAGAGCCCTACCTGATAGGGTTGGGCAAAGCAGTTAGGACAGTGCCTAGCAAGGAGCAAGCACTCAATAAATATTAGCTATTATCATATGTGGGTGGGTAACTGGATTGATGGGTAAGTGGCTGAATGGGCTGTCCCCATCTTCAAAAACCAGACCCTCCCCCGCCTCTGTAGCATCCCAATTCCCCAACACCAGACTCGGTAGATACCGTCCAGGGATGTTTCAGAAATCCCTCCTGTAGAAGAGACCTGGGCTTCTCTCTGGGGTGAGTGGTGGTGAGGAAAGTGGGGACCAGCAGGAGGGGGAGAGAGCAAGCTGGTGACTTCCTGCCCTCTGCCACACCGGCTTGGGCTGGCAAGCTTGTTTCCTCACTGGCACTGTCAGCACTGTTGTTTATGGGACCACAGACAGGCTGGGAGATGGCGTGTTGATGACTTGTGTAGCTCTACTCAGATCTCACACCCTGATGGTAATGACCCCTAATTTCCAAGGAGGCTTGGAGGGGCCAGGAGGGGGAGCTGTCAGGGAGGAGGGCGGGGAGGAGCCAGCAGTCAGGGCTTGCCTTGCCAGCCTCTTATCCGGGGATCATCAAGGTTCTGGGGCGATGATACCTTGCTTGGGAGAGGGAGGGCAGGTGGGAACATGGCATTCAGGATAGAGTGGCCAGCATCTCTGACTCTGGGAAGAGTGGCCTGGCTCCCAGCCCAGGGCCTGGGGAACTGTCAGGAGGAGCCCAGGAGGTGGTAGAGGCCTGGGGCAGCAGGGCACCATGACTTAGCACACATTACACCTTGTCTCGGCCAAAGGGGATGAGGTGCAGGGCTGTTGTCAGGAGGCCAGGTGGCCTGAAATGTGCCCTGTCCCCTCTCTGGGCCTGTGCACAGTGACAATGTTGGGTCCCTCCATCTTGGATATTTGAAGGAGGGGGAATCAAGTCATAACCTAAGGACTTCAGGCAGGAATCCTCCTGAGTGACCACAGGACTGGGCACTGCCAAGAGTGTTCTCAGCCCAGGTTGTGCCACCCTCACTGGGGGAGCTTTAAGAGGGGGTAATGGCTGGGGAGACCTCCTTTAGGGAGGCCTGGCCAGTCAAGCCATATCTGTCTTCATTTGTAAATCACAGAACGGTTAAGATCATGGCCTCTGAACCCCTTCTTGTTGGGTTCAAATCCCAGCTCTGCTACTTCTCAGCTGCAGCATTTCCCTTCTCAGTACCTCAGTTTGCAATCTGCAAAGCTAGTATAGAAACACAATATACCCAGAAGGCTTGTTGTGAGGACTAGGTGAGCTGAAAGCACTGCCTGGCGGGTGCTGAGTTATTATACTACTGTCACTTCTAGACTACAGGTGACACTGATGCAGCCCTGCCTCCTGGAAGCCCCCCTTTCTCTGACTTCTCTGCCACTCCACATGTGACCTCATTTCATTCATTATCAAAGTTCCTAGGAGGTAGACTGTGATCTGTATCTGCACTGTGTTCCACGGGTGTTTGGGAAGGATGAGGAGAACTGGTGAGACTCAGGAAGATTCAGCAAGCCCCCCCTGGCACTTTGCCACACACACAGCCTCTGCCCCTCCTGCCCTCTCTGCTGCTGAGGTGCAAGCAGATGGTTTCAAGTGTCCTGCTACTGCCTGGCTCTAAGCAGGCCTGCTTACTTGGACATTCTCTCTATCCCTCCTTACCTGCTGTGTGATTTGGATAGATTATTTGACCTCTCTGATCCTTACTTCTTTTTCCTTTGTTGGCCCTCAAATACAGATAGTTGAGTTATTTATACACCTCACCTTATGATGCATTATCATCACTGGCCTGTGAAGTCTCCTCTCTTGCTGTATTACCCTCCCACCCCCGCCCCTGCCTTTATCTCTAGTCTCCAGCCACGTTCCCCACCCACCCCAGCTGGAGCCAAACATTCTAATGTGCTTAATAACCATCTTTTTGTTCATAGGTGTTCTTGCAAAATACATATAAATATATACATGTAGTTGTTTTGTGCGCAGGTGGCTTTCATTTATATAATGGCACTGTGTTTAGAGCTGTTTCTGTTGACTGCTCTGATCACTTCTGACTGTTTTTAAGATCCCTGTTGCCATATCAGTGTCTAGTTTCTTGCATCCTGTGGCTGTGTAGTCCAGGGACTGTACCCACCACATTTTATGTCTCCCCAGGGCCCCCAGGAGTCTTCAACTCCCCATCCCCACAGACGACAGGGCCATGACATCACATTTGTGTGCCCTAAGGAACTGGGTGAAGGTTTCTTTGGGGTGTATTCCTGAGAACAGAACCGATTGGCCATAGATTATGAGAAAACATAATTTGAAGTCTTTCTTCTTCATTCATAAAATGGGTGTAGTACTCCCTCCCTTGCAGGGCTGACTTGACAGTAGTGGGTTAATGCGTGCAATCCACTCGGGCCCGCCGGTCATGAAAGAGATGCTCACTGAATGGTAGATGTGGCTGGTGTTCCTTCCAGCTCTCAGGGAGAGGGAGAGATTAGCCAGACCCAGGAGGACTCGCACAGAAATGCACCCAGGGCTAGAAGTCCAGTTCTAGGGCTGGTCTCCGCACATGAGTTGTGTGGGGGCACTGCAGTTCCTAGAAGAGACAAACTCATCTTGAATGTCAGAACTTCCTGCTGCCCAAGCACAGGGCCCAGTGCAGAGGAGATGGCTGTGCCCGGGAAATGCTTGATGCCACTCGTTTATCATCCCCTTCCTTAGCCAGAAGTAGCCTTCTCACACAGGAAGTGCCAGACAGCTTCATTTAATATTCTGCCTCTGCTCTGCCAGCCAACAAGCTTTTTAACCAGATGTGAAACCACACCTGAGCATTGGGTCCCACCATCCCATCCTAGTGGTGGAGAGACTGAGGCTCAGTTAGGCACCGAGCTCTCACAGGAGGTGCGTGGTGGAAGTGGCATTAGAACCAACATCCAGGTGCCCCCCTCCAGTGCCTTTTAAAAAAAAGTAAATGCATTCCATGTTAAATTGTGTTGTTATTTGTAAAGTTTTAACTTAAATGATCTACCAACAAACACAACACATTACTAAAAAGTAAAAAATTGCACATGTAGTCCTGCCATTCCAACGGAACCTTCTCAAGGGTCCTGTTTCCTTCCAACCCCGGGCCAATCATGAATACACTTTACTTACAGCTGTGATCTACACGGAATCTTGTAGATCTGTACTTAATCCTCTTTTTTTATACATGCACACAGTTTCAGATTGTGGGATATGTTTTGCAAGGGGCTATTTTTGCCTGGCCTTCAAGGAGACCTTGTGGACCCTGCCCCACCCTGCTTCCTGGGCCCCCGGGGAATTTCCCCTCTTGAGGTTCTTTGTTGAATTGGCACAGCCCTCTCGCAGCCTCTCAGGACCTCTGTTCTGCCTTTGCTGGTCTCTGTTAGCTTCTCCATACCCAAAATCAGGGTAGGGAACGGGCAGGAGCACACAGGTACTAAGTATCTACTGTGAATCAGACTCTCTGGGTACCTTAACCCACTATCTCATCCCCATCCCCACAGACGACAGGGCCATGACATCACATTTGTGTGCCCTAAGGAACTGGGTGAAGGTTTCTTTGGGGTGTATTCCTGAGAACAGAACCGATTGGCCATAGATTATGAGAAAACATAATTTGAAGTCTTTCTTCTTCATTCATAAAATGGGTGTAGTACTCCCTCCCTTGCAGGGCTGACTTGACAGTAGTGGGTTAATGCGTGCAATCCACTCGGGCCCGCCGGTCATGAAAGAGATGCTCACTGAATGGTAGATGTGGCTGGTGTTCCTTCCAGCTCTCAGGGAGAGGGAGAGATTAGCCAGACCCAGGAGGACTCGCACAGAAATGCACCCAGGGCTAGAAGTCCAGTTCTAGGGCTGGTCTCCGCACATGAGTTGTGTGGGGGCACTGCAGTTCCTAGAAGAGACAAACTCATCTTGAATGTCAGAACTTCCTGCTGCCCAAGCACAGGGCCCAGTGCAGAGGAGATGGCTGTGCCCGGGAAATGCTTGATGCCACTCGTTTATCATCCCCTTCCTTAGCCAGAAGTAGCCTTCTCACACAGGAAGTGCCAGACAGCTTCATTTAATATTCTGCCTCTGCTCTGCCAGCCAACAAGCTTTTTAACCAGATGTGAAACCACACCTGAGCATTGGGTCCCACCATCCCATCCTAGTGGTGGAGAGACTGAGGCTCAGTTAGGCACCGAGCTCTCACAGGAGGTGCGTGGTGGAAGTGGCATTAGAACCAACATCCAGGTGCCCCCCTCCAGTGCCTTTTAAAAAAAAGTAAATGCATTCCATGTTAAATTGTGTTGTTATTTGTAAAGTTTTAACTTAAATGATCTACCAACAAACACAACACATTACTAAAAAGTAAAAAATTGCACATGTAGTCCTGCCATTCCAACGGAACCTTCTCAAGGGTCCTGTTTCCTTCCAACCCCGGGCCAATCATGAATACACTTTACTTACAGCTGTGATCTACACGGAATCTTGTAGATCTGTACTTAATCCTCTTTTTTTATACATGCACACAGTTTCAGATTGTGGGATATGTTTTGCAAGGGGCTATTTTTGCCTGGCCTTCAAGGAGACCTTGTGGACCCTGCCCCACCCTGCTTCCTGGGCCCCCGGGGAATTTCCCCTCTTGAGGTTCTTTGTTGAATTGGCACAGCCCTCTCGCAGCCTCTCAGGACCTCTGTTCTGCCTTTGCTGGTCTCTGTTAGCTTCTCCATACCCAAAATCAGGGTAGGGAACGGGCAGGAGCACACAGGTACTAAGTATCTACTGTGAATCAGACTCTCTGGGTACCTTAACCCACTATCTCCTTGCATCTCGTAACAGCCTTACATTAATAGCCCCTGTTTCACAGATGAACAAACTGAGACTCAGAGAGGTGATAACTCAGCCATGGTCACACCCTTGCTAAGCAGCAGAGTCAGGATTCAAACCTATTCTCCAGCAAGCATCCTTCCCACTGTGTCATGGTCCCATCAACACAGCCCATGGTTACAAAGGGGAACGGGTGTCCCCAGTGCCAGAACACACTGCTGCCCACACTCTCAGGCAACGGCAGTGACTTTCTCTGAACCCCCTCCCAGGGTGGAGGAGTCCACATCAGCCGGACTTGCTCTCAGCCTGCCCACGTCTCCTGACACTGCCCAGCCCAGAGGACTGCTGAGGGAGCGAGCACCAGAGCCCACCCTCCCCTGCAGGCTGGAGGAAAGTTTCAGGGGCTGGTCTGGCATCAATTGTCTGCAGCCTGGAGTGAGAGGCTGGAAAGAGGAGCTGCAGTTCAGTAGCATGTGGGTTGGGATGATGGGAGCTCTGACTTTTATCCTTAAGAGATGGCTGAGGAGACCTAGGGTGGGGACAAAGGTGACTCTCAGGACTTCTCAGCCTGCCCTTCCCCGCCCCATGCACTCTCCCAGCCAGGAGCACTTGGCTTTGCAGGAGGAAGGGCCATACACTTGACAAAGGCCTGGCTGCGTCACTGCGGTGACTACAACGTCTATCCTACCCCATGTTCCAGAAGCAGCCAGTAAAGTCAGCTCTCAGAAGTTGCTAATTGCCAAGCCAAGACTTAATTAAAGGATGGGGCTTTGGCTGTTTTAAGGGGAGCCTGTTATCTGGCTGTTTCTTTTACTGGGGGAGCAGGTGTGAAGTGTTGCTATTAGGTGGAGTGGGGTATGGGGTGCTGAGCTGGACAGAGAATCAAGCCCTGGCCCTGCCCCAGGGGACTCAGCCTCAAAGGATAACAGGGTGAAACTGGTGGGGAGGTGGTTGGGGGGTGCTGTTCCCCGCCAAGCCCAAGCCTTCCTGAGACTCCTCTGGCCCACCTGAAAACGAATGGAATAGGGGTGAAATGGGTGGTGTAAGGGCAGAGAGAGCCCTGATATCCAGATTCTGCAGCTCAAGCCCTTCTGGTGTCAGGAATCACCCTCATTTCCCCATTTCCTCTGTCTCCAAACAAAATGAACCCACAAAGCAAAAGGAACCAGAAAGGGAGAGAAGTTGATGAACACGTACCAAGTGCCCCCTGTGTTCCTGGCCCTGTGCTGGCGCTTCACATGCAGTATCTACTGAATCATTCCAGGGACGGGTGCTGTCACTGCTCCCATGCTACAGACAGGAAAATGGCTTGGTGTTGGGGTGCTTTTTTTTTTACTTCCCCCATGCAAGCTGTTTACCAAACCCTTCCTCTCTCCCTAGAAATGTCCCACAAATTAACAACTCTGCCCTTTTTGTTTCTACCACCAGCATGGAAGTCCTGCCCCCCACCCCCTCCTGGATTGTATCAATTGACCAACTGTTAAACCAATTAAGCCACCAATTAAGTGGCTTCTTTGTCCATCCCGAAGCCTACGTTTCTCCTCATCGTCCTCACCCAGCTGCTAGATGAACATCCTTAAGACCCTGCTTTCACCCTTGCCTGCTCAGTGTGACCACTGCCTCTAGGCCACAGCTTCTCAAACCTAGACATGTTCCTGAATCAACTAGGGATCCTGTTAAACACAGAGCATCTGCCAGGTGCCTGGATCCATCAGCTCACTGAATCTCATAACCACCTTAAATTAATAGCCTGTTTTACAGATGAACAAACAGGTTCACAGAGGTTGCCCAACGTCGGGGATGGGGCCAGAGATTCTACATTGCTAAGATCCAGGTGATGCACATGCTGCTGGTTTATGCACCATGCTTCTAGACTAAACTCTCCTGCCTAGTTATTTTTTCTTTAATTTTTAAATAGCAAGTATTAAAGTAAAAATTTTTAAATAGCAAGTGAAAACTCCCTTCCATTCCTATCCCCTCATTTGCCCAGTTCCCCCCACCTCCACCACTAGTAACCACTTTTATTAGTTTCTGATGTATCTTTGCAAAGTTTCTGTGCCAGTACAAGCAAATAAGATCATACATATTTTTCCCCAAATGGTAGCATACTACATACAACATTTTGTCAACAGTGTATCACTTTATCTTGGAGATAAGGACACAGTCAGCTGACTCATTTATTTTTAGAGTTGTATTATTATTCCATTGTGTGAATCTGCCATAATTTATTTAACCAGTCATCCCTAGTGGACAATTTGGGAGGTTTCTGATCTTACCAGCTGGCCTTTTTAAGGCTGTCATACCTTGGCCAACCTTGCTGTGACCTCCCACCCACCCCCCAGTTCCCAGATCCACCACCCTGAGTCCCTGCAGGGGCCTTTGCAACTTCTGACGACCTTTCCAAGACTCTCCAGCCCACCCTGAAAGCATCTCCTCTGGATCCCTGTCCCACTGCTAGTCTCCTCTTCATTTACCTCCCTACTCTTCCCCTCTCCATATGCCTCCCTGTCTCCCCAAAGACACTAAAGCAACCTGAACTCGGGATCATGTCTAATTTATCTGGATCCTTCACAGCCTAGAGCTGGGTACACAGCCGTTCTCGAGAATACTAGTCATATAGTGGAAGCTGTGTATGAATGGAGTGGCTCAATGGTGGTTCTGCTGGGGCTGGTTCAGGGTGTAAGAGCCTGGGAACTACCTAAGGTGGGAGGGACCTCATGCCGCAGAGGTCTCCAAGAGAGAAGCCCCTGTCTTGTGACTGAGTGTCTAGAGCTCTTGGGTGGGTTGTGATGAGGTCTAGGGCACGATGTGGTATCAGAACTTCTCTTGTGTCCTTCCCATGGGAACAACAGGAGGAATCATGGTGTGTAGATATGAGGGGGGAGGGCTAGATGGTATGGGTATGTGCACATGCCCTAGAACAGGTTCCTCCCCTTCTCTGTTAACATCCTTTCATCCTTCATGGGCCAGCTCAAGTTGCAATTCTTCTAAGTAGATTTCCTGGACTTCTCCAGCCCACACTGACCTCCCCTCCTCTGAATTCATTCTGTGAGTATTAATGACTGCAATCGCTGTTCTGAACTTTGTCATCAGGGCCCGCCACCTGAATCATTGTAAACCTTAGCTCCCTGACGAGAGCCGAAGATCCTCTGTGGTAGAAATAAGACTTATATAATTCTCCTGTATCCCCAGGTACTCTAAACCCTCAGCACAGCACTAGGCAACTGAGAGAGCTTTCACGAATACTCCTTGAACAACCAAGAATCGGTTCCAGCAGTGCCATGGTGGTGAGTGGGCTGGGGCAGGTTTGACCACAGGTGTGACTCCAATCAAAATCATTTGGGGAACACAGTGTTTTTAAAGATGGTCCAGTCTACCCCCCTCACCCTCACACCACCTGTTCCTCAGTCCCTCCCCTCCTGGTGGGAAAACAATGATCTCACAGCCACAAGCCCTGGAGGCCCCACTCTTTGTCTCTCTTAACTCTGGAGCAAGTAAAGAGGACTTTGCTGAAATATCACTGTTATGAAAGACAAAAGCAAGGGACTGTGCTTAATCAAGAGATTAGAGGGACATGAAAAGCAAATGCAATGTGTGCATCTTGACTAAGGATTGGGAAAAAAACTAAAATGACATTTTAGGGGATAATTGGGAAATTTTTAATATGGATTATATTTCAGAGAGTAACATTGTCTCTATGTTAAGTTTCTTGAATGTGATAACTTTGTATTATGGTCATTTAGGAGAATGTCCTGTTCTCAGGCAATGAATACAGAAGCATTGGTGGGGGTAGAGATGTGCCATGATACAATTTCAACCTTCAGCAAAATAAAAATGTATAAAAAAAACCACGTGTGTGTGTGTGAAGAGAGGTTGAGCATGTAGATGTGGCAATGTGTTAATAATTGAATCCAGGAAAAAGGATGTGTGAATGTGCCATAATTTATTTAACCAGTCATCTCTAAGTGGACAATTTGGGAGGTTTCTGATCTTACCAGCTGGACTTTTTAAGGGGATGTGCCCCAACTATCTGTGACCCCATCGCCACCAGCACCCCCAGCCTTCCACTCCTGCTGCCCAGAAAGCATCAAAATCTCAATCCTCGGCCTGCTTCCACTCCCCTCCCCACCCCTCCCGCAGCTTTCATAGTCTCCCAAGTCCTCATCTGGCCCCGCCTTCCCAGGCTCAGCTAGGACGGCGGTTCACAGCTGGTCTCGCTGGACAGTGAACTGAACCCTTAAGTGGACTCGACCGTAAGTCTTTAAAAATTACATTCACTTCAGAGAAAATAATAATTTGATGTACAAAAAATGCTAAGATTTAGTCATCCTACCTTCCCTCGGGAGCTCTGTCAAGGAGGAGGCTTCCACCTTTGTCATCAGATAGGATACTAGTTCATTCCTTTTCCTCCTTTTCTTACTTATGGGCATTTCCATATATCCACTGGTGACCCACAGCCCCCACTCCTGAGGGCCCAAAGAACCCTTCCGCGTGTTAGCTTTGACCAGCCAAGTCCCCGGTGTTGGGCGCAGGAGTGGTTTCCAAAGGTCCCATACTGACCTGCTCCTGACCTGAACCTCTGCAGAGGCAGGGGACTTGCCCGCCTCCTCCCGCCCGGAGAGAGGAGATTGCAGGAGGAGGGCCAGGAGCCTACCTGGGGGAGGGACGGCTTGTCTCCGCGGCTGGGCGTGGGCTGGGCGAGGTCCCCAGCCCACCGGGGCCGTGCCGACAATGGCCCGTTGTAGAAGGAGGCAGGCAGGAATGCGGCCGGGGGAGTTGGGCGGCGGGGCGGCAGCCGCGGTGGCGGCCGCGGGGCGGGGCCGCGCCCCAGCCGCAGCCTCTTACCTGCCCAGGTAGCTCGCATTTCCAGGCGAGCGGCGGCGCCCTTAGCACCTGTCTTTCGGTGCGCGGGCGCGGAGGACGGCGGGGGACATGACCTGGTAGAGGCCCCTGGGGAGCCGGTGCGGGGTTCAGTCATCCGGGCCAGGGCAGGGCGAGGGCGGACAGGTCCTTCCCCGGCGCCCGCGCGGCCTGCGGCAGCATGAGAAAAAACCAGACGGTGCAGGGCACCTTCAGCAAACTCTTCGGCAGGAAGCATGCCAACCCCCCCAGCACCTCCCTCTACGCCACCAATCCCCCCTGGATTTTCACCCACGAGGCCCCGGCGGAGGGGCGCAGGGACTTCGGTGAGTGCGCCCTCAGGGAGGGCGCTGGGCTGCCGCGGGCTGCACCTCCCCCCCTGGGGCTGCGGGCGGCGCTGCCTCCTCCGGGCTCCGAGAGTTCCGCGGGCCGGGAGGGCGGGGACGCGGCCGGGCGCGGAGGGGAAGGGACACGTTGGAACCTGCGAACTGGCTGGGTCGGGATAGGAGGGCGGCGCCGCACCGGGGTGTCTGCGGGAAAGCGCCATGGGGGCAGAGAGGTGCGGGGACCTGCGCCGCCCCGCTTCTGATCCTAGGCCTTCTTCTGAGGCGTTTGTTTTCCCTCCTGAGTGGAAGTTGTGTTTGATTATGGCATGGAATAATTTGCCAGAAAGGCTTCCTGGGGGTTGCAGTGTCTCCCCTTCCCTGGCAGTACGGTTGAGTCAGAAGTGTTCTCCTAAAGTGAGGAGTAGGGGATAGTCCCTTCAGCCGTCACTCTTTCAGTTCTTCGGTTCCTCCAGCCTCCAGCCCTGGCCTCTCCTGGCCCAGGATCATAGGCAAAGAGCAGGCAGGGGCTGCTCTGCGGGTGCCCACACACCGGGCTGTGCCAGGAAAGGCCCAAGCAATATTAACAGGAGCCGCTGGTAGCAGGATACCAGCCTTCGCAAGACACACAGTCACTTGTTGGGGTCACAGGTTTCTGCCAGGTCATCCCCGGGCTTAGACTGTCTAAGGGCTCAGACAGAGGAGCTGGAGATGGGTAATGGAAGCCCAGGAAGCCCCTCCTGACTGCACGTGGTGGTGACCTCTGCAGGCATCAGAAAACACCATGCCTGCCCAGCCCTGTAGCTCTGGCTGTGGGTCACCTTATTACTGCAGCTTTGCGCAGTTTGTACCCTCTGTAACTGACGGAAACAGGAATTCACTTGTTATGTGTGATTCAAGGCTCTGGGTCTAAGGAGGGTCACCCACCCCTGCTTTGGCAAACCTGTCTTGCCACCCCATTACCTTCACCAACCTTTATGGCCATGTTGCCAGGACCCATAGAGGTTGTGATTGTCTCAGCCCTTGCTGTTGGATTCAGTTCAATGCCCAGGTTGTTACAGTTGGGACACAAGTCACCTGGACAGGGGCAGGACAAACAAAATGTCTCTTCTCCCTGTCCCAAGGATCTGAGACCCAGGGGTGAGCAGAGCTAATCATCTGCCATTTAGCCCTTTCTGAGCCTGTGCTATGAAAGATTAAGTGCACAAGGAGCAGAGAAAAGAGATGACCTCTGATTGGAACTAGCATTTGATCTGAGAGGCAAGGGCATCCAGAATTTGCAGAGCAAATAACAGGCTCAAAGGCTAGTTGGGGCAGAGCAGTTTGGAGACATGGTTTAGGAACTTAGAAATAAATACACGTGTGCTGCCAAGTATAACTCTGTGAGGCCTGATCTCTCCTTGCCAATGTAGCAAACATTTATTGACCTCTTCTTAGGTTCCAAAGTCCTTTGTTGTTGACTCATTGAATCCTCATCTACCCTGTGATGCAGGTACTATTATTCCTGTATGACAGATGTGAAGACCGAGGCCCAGGGAGGTTAAGTAATGTGGCCAAGAACACAAAGCTTTAAATGGCTTAGGCAGGATTTTCTTAATTGTGCAATTAAGTGATTTTTAGTAAATTTACAGAGAGTTGTATAGCCATCACCACAATTCAGTTTTAGAACATTTCCATTACCCCAAAATCTCCCTCGTGAGGCAGAGCTAATATTCGAACCCGGCAGTCAGGCTCGAGACCACACTGTTAGCCAGCTTGCTGACTTTGTGTAAGGTAATTCAAGCGTGAATTTGACTTGAGGGGCATCTGCCTGAGAACACCTCTCCCAGCATGCAAGGGGAGACGTCAGACATGCCTTAGACAGTTTTCTACATTTTTGCCTGTGCCCAGGAAGACTGTTGATAGGAATCAATCCCTCCAGTGATGGTGCCCTGTCACGTCCAGCCAGCTGCAGCCTTCACCAGCCTGGGCAGAGCTGCAGCCCAGGCAGCTCCTCCCATTCCCCAGGGCAGGGCTGGCCCTCCAGCTGACTCAGCCTGCTTGTACCCTGCCTGCACTTGGAGGGGTGGAAGACTTGCATCCGGCAGGATGGCTCCTCATTGTTTCCGGGGTGTTCCCCAGGGTGCCAGTGGGTGTGGCAGAAGTCCTCCTCCCTGCTGAACAGGACTTGTGCTTGGGGTTGGGAATGGGAGGGACTAATATTGGGGATTCTGTGATGTCACAGAGATACCAGGCCTGCCTTAGAGTAATGCCTCAATCAATAATGTGGGAGCTAGCCACTCTCTGGGCCTCAGTTTTTCCTTCTGTTAAGTGGGGATGGTGTCCAGACTGCCCACAGCATGGCTTCTTGAGATTGTATATGGCAGTTACAAACTTTGAAGAGCATTAAAAAGAAAAGCCCTAAAGCAAAGATTGGCAAATTATGGCCCTAGCACAAGTCTGGCCCATGGCCTGTTTTTGTAAATAAAGTTTTATTAGGACAGCCAGCCATGCTCATTTAATATTGTCTAGGGCTGCTTTCATGCTGTAAGAACAGAGTTGAGTAGCTGCAGCACAGACATATGGTCCACAAAGTCAAAAATATTTACTAGCTGGCCCTTTTCAGGAAAAAATGTGTTGACTCCTGCATAATTTATTATTATCAGGTCTTTCCCAGCTCTGAGCACTTCCTGCCCTTGCCTGCTTTATTTCCTCTTCCTAACTTTGCTGTAGACAGGAGAAAACTGAGACATGAAGAGGCCGTCTAAAGGTCTCAAGGGGTTAGGATTAGAGTTCCACAGGGTCCCTGAGTCTGACATTCTCTGAGATGTTGGCAGTATCCAGCCCTTGGAGAACAGGTGTGTGTGGCGGTGGGAGAAATCAATGCAGGGGCATGTTAGGGAATTAAGGAGGAAAGGCTTGCTCTGTGGCTACAGCCATGTAAAAATCTGTTTGCACAAGGGTAGGCTGGGTACAGCAGGTAAAATGCAAACAGTCATGTGAAGGTGGTGATGGGCAAATTTTTGGTGGGGGGTAAATTTTTCTTTAAGGAATTTCCCTAACATTTATTCCGGTAAGCAGTAGGAGGGCTTCATTTAATTCAACTGCAATCCTAATTAAGCCTCCTGCCTTCCCCCAGCCCAACAAAGGTCTTAAAAGGCCTCACAATTGTTTTGAAATGCTTGAGAGAGCCGAGATGTGGATCTTTACAAATCCTGTGATAAGAGACAGGTTGCAGGAGCCCGAGACAGGGCTGCCAAGCCCCTCTGGACTCCTACCTTGCCTCTGAGGTTTACTGAACTATGCTTCTTTATCTGCTACCACCCTACCTCTCCTCACCCCGGCACTGGGATGCCCTGCTTGCTGGGGGACTCTCTTTCTTGCCTTGTTCCTGCAAATGCAAATCACCTTTGTTACAACCATGGAGGACACTTATTTAAAATGCAGATTCTGGGGTCCCACCTCAGGCACAGGAAGTCAGAATCCCTGGGCTAGGGCCTAGGGTCTAGATTTTCAACATCCTAGGTGACTCTTCTGTACCAGAAGATTTAAGAATCCTGAGCTTTCTTTCCCCAGATGGAGCTGGGACATTCTCTTTCCCCTTAGGGCTTCCTGCAGGTTCTAAATAAACGTGTGGGGACTGTGGCCAGATCCTTACCAGGAGAACCCAGTTCTCCCTAGGGGTTCTGATATCACTGCTTCTGGGGTCCCCTGACCTTGTGTCCCAGGCCAGGCCAAGCTGCAGAAAGCTGTGACCCCCCAAGAGCTAAGCACATTTTTCCGGCCAGAGCCCAGCTGGCACCAACCTACCCGCAAGCTGACCTGTGCATTGAGGGGTGTTGTAAGTTCGGGAAGAGGAAATCCCAGGGCAAAATACCTCAAAAAACCAAAATCAGTCAAAGGGAAAAATAAAGTTTAAAATCCGTTTATTGCTTACAAACTGCAGTCCAGGGCCGTTTCTCTCTTTCCTGCTCCTGCAGAAGCAAAACCAGCCCTCCCCTCCCCTCCCCTCTCGGGTACAGAGAAGCCCTCCTTGCCCAGGTAATTACCCATTGATATGGAGATGAACAACTCTCCACCCCTTAGGAATGATGCAAATACACTAAAGCCATATTTCTTTCCATCTCTGAATGCCTATTGATAATGCAGATATACTAAAGCCAGGTGAGATATTCTGGAAATATTACAATTTTACCCAAGCATGTTTTTCTGGCCAGAGCCCAGATGGCACCAAGCTACCAACAAGCTGACCTGTGCATTGAAGGGTGTGAAAGAAATTGTTTAGTCTTGTTCCCTAGAGGTGTGCTGTGGTTTGCTGGCAGTTCAGTACACATGCACACCCTCTCTACTGCCCCATTATATAAGCTGCTCTTGTCCCTGCAGTTCAACTCCAGAAAGCCAGGCCCTTGCTTGACCATTGCAGACCAGCTACAGGGTGCCCCTCCTCTCCCAGCCAATAAGTCAACAATAATTATAATATCTTCATCATTATTACTGTCAATATTTATTGAACCAGACACTGTGCTAAAACTAAAAACTCCATTTCTTAATGGAGGAAACAGACTCAGAAAGCTCAGACAGGTTCAATGTCTCAAAGTCATTTCAGTTCAAGGCAGCTCAAACATTAACATGCATCCGATCACCTGGACCTTGTTAAGATCAGATTCTGATGTGGTAGATTTGGGATGGACGGAGACCGCTCTGCTGACAAGTTCCCCAGTGAAGTCCTTCCGCAGGTGCAGACCATACTCTGAGTAGCACATCCCAGCTAGGGGGCAGAGGGCCCTCTTAGCTGCACTGTCCCCATCCAGCCCCCACCCGCAAGGTTTCTCCCTTCTCTTCCCCCCTGCTCTGCTCTGTGGCTCCCCACTCCAGCCCAGCCCAGCCTATGTGTTCTCTCTGCCCTTGGACAAAGGCCTCTCTCAGGCATGGGTCAGGCCTGCTGGGGCTTGCTGGGACAGACTGGCCTTTTCAGGTTTCTGTCATATGGACCTGTTAATTAGCAAGGAAGGGCCTCATTAGTGCCATTTGAGGGTTACATTCACATGGGACCCCCTGCTGTTTCCATGAAAGGCTAGGGCTCCCCTAGTGGATGGCCCACGTCAGTGGGGTAGATGTGGAGGGGTCTGTTTTTGGATTTTGGGTTACTCTGGGTCAAGGTGACAAACTCCCCCAGCTAAAGTCCCACCCCACCGAAGCCCCTGGAATGCGGTTAGACTCATACTGGGGCCATTTAGAGGCCCCA